AGGGTTCGGATCCCACATACAGACCGGTTCCCGCTCACTGGCTGAGCGAGGCGCGGGAGCAACACCGAGGGTTGTGGTCCCGTTGCCGGTCCCTGGTCTGGTACGGGGGCAACACTGAGGGTTGCGATCCGTTGCCAGACACGGAAAAAGACAAAAGACAAAAAAAAAAAAAAAGATGAGTGGTAAGGGGATCTTAACCCTTAACTTGGTGTTGTCAGCACCACGCTCTCCCAAGTGAGTGAACCGGCCATCCCTATAATACGGATCCAAACCCGCAGCCTTGGTGTTATCAGCACCACACTCTCCCAAGTGAGCCACGGGCTGGCCCCTATGACAGCACCTCTCGAGAGCAAGATGTCTTTGTTTTGGGGCCTTACTAAAAACAAGCCACAGAAACATAAAAATTCTTAATAATTTGATAATATGAAGAGCAGAGATGTTCTTTCACATATGCAGAGTTAACATACCTTTGCTTTAGAGGAAACTCCTGGAGCTTTGGCCTTTTTTGGATCAGGCTTGGGTTCTACAGTGTTGGAAACAGAATCTTCAACAGGTGCTTTGAGGAAAAAAAGAATGTAGTACTATAAGTATAAACTCTAAGAAATATCACTTTATTCTAAGCAGGTTAAATATATGATAATAGGAAAGCCTGCAATCTTAAATGTATTAATTTATGTTATAATGTAATAATTTATAAGGTGTCAGTTAAGATTTTTTTCCTAATCTTTTTTATCCCCAAATTCTTCTTTAAGCATAACCTTCAGAAATTAATTCAGAAAGTCTATGTCTCCTTTACCAACATTTAAGCTGCAGTTTTAAAATTATTTTCTAAATAACAGTTTAAACAAACCTTTCTTTTTTTCCATATTGATACTTCCTTAAGGGTAGGGACTGTCACCTTTGATATTCAGTATCTACTACATAGCAAGATTTCAATTAATACTATAACTGAATACGTACTTTTTTTTTTTTTTGTCCTTTTTTGTTTTGAGACTGGCCGCACCGCACTCAGCCAGTGAGCGCTGTGAGCAAACCGGTCATCCCTATATAGGATCCGAACCCACGGCGGGAGCGCTACTGCGTTCCCAGCACCGCACTCTCCCAAGTGTGCCACGGGCTCGGCCCTGAATATGTACTTTGATACCAAAAAAATTTTTTTAAATTGAATCATAATTGTTTATACATATTGTTGGGGTTCAATGTTGACATATGTTGATCCAATCAATATTACTAGTATATATATTGTTACAAATTGTATTTATTCTTTTTTTTTTTCTTTTTAAAAGATGACCAGTAAGGGGATCTTAACCCATGGCCTTCGTGTTGTCAGCACCACACTCTCCCAAGTGAGCCCCTGGCCGGCCAAACTGTATTTATTCTTTATGCCCCTTGTCCAATCTATCCCTATCCCCTTCTCCCTCCCCCCTACCACCACTGATAACCCTAGATTTCTTCTCTCCCTCTGAAAGAGTAATGGTTACTCTGTCGA